AGGGTGCTACAGTGTGGGGGCTGCCTACTGGCTAGCCCTGCACTACAGCACCCTCTGCCCCAGCCAGCCCCTCTGCAGCACACTGAGCCAGATTGGAGCAGTCTCCTGCTGGCAGGCTGACCCCCAGGACCCTCTACCAGATGGGGCTGGTTTGCCCCTGCTCAATATGCTGCGGTACTGGGCGCACATGTAAATGCGGCACCTGGGAGCAATAAACTCCAGTGCAAACTGCACCAGAGTTTATTCAGCCACACTAACTGCACATGTAGATGTGCCCAGTGGGTCTAGCTACATGTGCACTTTATTGTGGAGTAGACTAATTCGCTCCTCAGTAAAGCATCACTGTCTACACATGTACCGGTATTAGGGATGCAGTAAACAAATAAACTCTGCCAAAAGATAGTACTGTCAGGGACAGCACTGTCTTATGTTAGAGTACTTACCTAGGAACAAATGCACATGTGGATGGTGACCACATGTGCATTTGTTCATAGGTAAGTACGCTACCATAAGATAGTACTGTCCCTGACAGTACTCCACGGCTGCAAATTGTGCCCAGTCAGCCTAGCCAGCCAGGGGCTAGACTCTTGCCTCCTGCCAACCCACCTGCCACCTGGTACCACCACCCAGAGCTCTGGACTAATCCCCCATTCCCCCTGCCAGTCTGGGCCTGCTCTGCCCTGGCTCAAATTGCTGCTATCCCAAATGCACGTGTATACTCTATGCCTAGGAGAAGTTTACTCTAGCTCAGACAGCTTCAGATTTTATTGCATCACATTAATTACATGTGTAGATGCACCCACTCTGAGTAAAGCTATACAATATGTGTTCAATTAATTGTTGATAATAAGCCCAAAACCACCACCCAAATTATTTTACAATGATACATTTTGAAGAGGTTTAAACTCTGTCAGTGCCATCAGTTGTTATTCTTTTAACCAGAACAAACCGGTATTCCTAGGAATAATGAAGAACATTTAACATTCTTATCTTCTTTGTTGATGGATGATAAGTTGTCCACAGTAAAGTTGTTAATGATGTAAAATAAAATGCAAATTGAATAGCACAACCAAAATTAAGCTATTAAAAAGAGTGAAGCAGGCAATCAATGGAACTAAACACTACCCTTTTGCTCATACTGTTACAAACATAGTGCTGACATATTAGAAGTATGATAAAATCAGAGAACAGTTCCTATAGTCTCATCAGCCAAGCAACGAGTGACTTTTCTATGAACAATTTTCTCCACATCAGCCTGATCCGGGTAAGCAGAGAAGTTTGTTAAGGGACTTCGGATAGAAAGCAAATTGAAATGTTGAATAATCTCATTCAGAAGTATTTTCAAGTGATCGTTGAAAGCATTTATTTCATATGGGAGGGGCCCCATCAACTTGGTATGGGCTGTACTTGTTCACTTGTATCTAGAAAGCTTTCTGTGATCTGACATTTCTCTATCAGTCAACAGTGTCTGTCTGTCTCAGTCTGAGAGGGAATGTAAAGAGCAGCATGATGGCCTCAGAGTGCTTGAGAAGGCTCAGACAAGAGTGTAAGATGTGTAGGCCAGAAAGGCTTCTCTCCAGTGTTGCTTCTCTCTGCCATTTGCATTCAGCTTGGATCACCTTTCCAAGGGTGACAATAGGCAGATGCACTAACCTCTATGGGCTGTGTCAAAAGACTTGGATATAGGTGAGCTCACGTAGTAGAGACTGAGGAGTAATCAGATACAACAGAGATAGACAGAGAATACAAGCTTAAACAGGTATGGATAAACTATAGAGACACATTGGTCATCCAATCTTCATTAAGTCATCTCCCTGCTGAGCTCAACTTTTGTTGAAGCTGGAAGGAAAAGGAGACTGTTCTTCTCCCTTTTCTTAGCAGCACATGGAGCTTTTAAAAGAAGACAAGATCTTTCTGAAAAACATATTTCCGTCCAGCTTCTGGAACAAAATCAATGGTCTTTGTTTACAAGGAATTAGATTAAATGATCATAGCGGTCCTCCTGGCCTTCACAGCCTATAAAAAAGAATTTGAATACACTGGAATAAAGAGAGGCTGCTTCTCTGTCAAGGCAAACCACTTTAGTGGTTCTCTCAGAGTGGATTGACTGAAATGTCCAGGGCTGCATCTCAGAGAAGGGGCCTAGACACCAAATAGCTTTCAGACAGTGTGGAGAAGCAGCCCCATAGTGTCAGAGCATCTCCATGAGCAAACCAGGAAAAATACCAGATTGTGTTCCTTGTACACAGAATTGCAAGCCTGTGCCACAGACATGTTCATTTAGCCAGAGAGACCCAGTAATGTAAATCTTCCCCTCCTTCTCACAGTTTCCTTGTGTCTTGAAGAGGACAGAGAATGCCATACTGGTCATGGAAATTAGGATGTAATACATGGAGCTCTATTGGCTTCCAAAGCTACTGACAGCAGGCCACGTGATGCATGGTGCTCCAGGAAAAACTCCATTTCAATGCCTAGATAAGGAAAGGTTTCCTAGTAAAGCCTTTTGACCAAAGTATCTGTCTATCACAATGCAAAAATCCCAAAGCATGCATAGCTAGTTTGTACTACTGTATCTCAGATATCCCACCACCAAACAGATGTTGGAGAGTCAGTAGATGAGTCCTAGGATGCCTTTAGGGGCAACCCTTAAATAGTGTAAAAGGGCAAACACTAGGGCCCCAAGAATATTTCGTCATAGGTTGTCACTTAACTAGTACGAAGTTTTAGGGCAGTTATTCTCAACAACAGTGTCATGGTACTTTGGGTGCTGCAAGATTCTTTTAAGGATGCCGCAGAGTGCAGTGCAATATTAGCACTCAATACTATACTGCAGTATTAGCAAACACTTACATGTAATTCATAAGATAAACCCAGAGATTTAAAATAGGAACCCATAGTGCCAAAAACATTTGACCTGTTGTAGTCGTTCTGAGTTCTTTGCAACAGAAGAATTGCTTGATTATTTTTCCATAATCAAGAAATGAGTGAAGGCCAAGAGCTGGCATTTTCCAAGAGGTGCTTTTAGTCTAACAAGGGGTACTTTGAATCTAGAAATGTTTAAAACTGCTGTTTTAAGGGGTAGTAAAATAGCATCTTAGCTGTTATAAGAACTGTTGTGCTTGCATGGCAGCTGAATATAATGCTTCATAAGTTTCTTTTTCAACCTTTAGCAATCAGACTCCTAGTTCTTTCCTTAATGATACATTATGATTCCTATGCTGGTAGAACCCAGTAAACCTCTGTTAAGTTACATGCAGTCAGAACTGAGAGCCCATTACTCTAGGAGTTGTACAAACATATAGGGAGATGAGGACTATTATTTCTGCTAGACGGGTGAATGAACTGGCTGAGAATCGCAAGCAGATACCCATTCTTTATTATTTATAATGACAGTCTCAAGATAATTCCTCTCTTTCTTCATACTGTAAATCATTTCTTTGTTCCTGTGGTAAACCCTAGTTTCCATGGGAGGAAAATCTCCAACCTTCCTTCGTTCTCTTTTCACCCATCCAAACAATACCCCATGGTACCAGATTGATGATAATCAAGGTCAGCAAGTCATTTCAAGAGATTCAAGATTTTTCATAGTCTTTAATGAAGTAGAAACAGGAAAATGGCTTTCAAGTAAATGATAACATAACAGTTGGTATTGTATATTGAAGAAGTGTAAATAGCTGGACTTCCCCTTTACCTTTATATTTATTTATTACAACAACCCATTCCAGGTTGTTGATCCTCTTGGGCAGAAACTGAATTTATAAAGCCAGACCAGGACCTTCTTATTCCTAAGGGAGAACCAGATCTGTGTCTGCCTGCCAGAGCTTTAAGGATTCACTCCATCTGTGTCACTTTTTACATGCTGCGTATCAAGGCTACCTGTTGCAACCACTGTTCCGTGACCAGGGAAAGCATTGGATTTCCCTTTCCAGCCTGCCTAGCCATTTTTTTTGATAGGCTGTAGAAGTTGTTGATGACCTCAAAAGGTCACTTCTTTCCCACCTAATATTGCACATACTGCTCTGTGGCATTCTACCCCCAGGCAGCCTCAGAAGCCACAGATCAATCTGCGAAGTACTTCAAAACACATTCATCTGGCAATTGCAAAGGCAAAATTCCAACTTCTCTTGCCTTTGACTCCAACCATGGCTTAACCACATGCTCCTTTAGTGCCTAACGGAGAGGGCACAAACTAAACATATACAATGATATTATAGTGGCCTTAAAGTGGATTATGAGAACACTATAGAGCTAGCAGTTGGTTAATGCACTCAAGTCATGAATCACACCACTTGAAATGATTCAAGGAGGGGAAAGCATAATAATAATAATACTAATAATAAAGTGGCAGTCCAACTCAGAGATAGGCTTGAGAGCCCTATTAAAACTTGAGAGACTATGATTTCTATTCGTAGAACTGCCAATTAACACAATAACAAGGACCATGCTTTAATACCCCATCCTAAGAGTTGTACTGTACAAGAACTGAGAAGTAAATAGCACGGGTGAGTCCTGTACAGTATAGTCAAAAGTTGCCAGCAGATGAACGTGGCTCATGAGAAGCCTGCCGCAGGTCTAAATTTATCATTACAGCTACAGGCTCCAATCTCAAAAGGAACCAAATATGTGATGTTTGTTTCTGTGGAAGAATGGGAGGAGACTAATGGTAAAGGACTGTGGGTGGGAGTGGTGGGGGGGGAGGAAGAGAATCAAACCTCGTTGGCTTTTCAGAAACCTGCAGAAAATCATCTAAATAGAGTAATTCAGACCTCAAACACTGTGCACTGCTTTGACAATCTGCTGGTTTATGACATACTTAACGAAGTAGTCTTACATTTGCTAGTCTGAATTGTCCATTTTACTATAGACTTTCTGCTACTTTGCTAGGACTTTAGAATTTGGACACTTGACAAAAATGTGTGTTACACATTTTTTTAAGTGTTGATTGTGCTCGTAATTTTAGAGTCAGAATATAAAATAAACATCTCTGCCCTTTCTTCCAGCAGGCAGCACAGAGATCTACTCTCCGCGTTCTATCTGACAGGTACATTTTGTCATTTTTATGAACTATAAATTGCTTTATGAAACGTTGAGCCCTATTTATTGTGGCATATAACTCATAATCGGATTTTGTCCCCAAAGTATCTGTGAACTGGGATGTTAAACATTTTGCATGCTTGGATTTGTCATGCATGTATGGAGTTTATTACTGCAAAAATCACAGGCTTGTTGTATTTCATACAGAGTATGCAGAATCCCTTGTTGTGATACCAAATGTGAGATAAGAAACTTACTGGAGAAGGCATGAAAAATGCAGTAAATTCTGAGCTTTAGCATTTGCTGAGATATATCTATGCTCATTTTTCAGCAATAAGTGCTTCATTTATTTTGAGATGTTCTCTCCTGCCTTTTTCCAAATTCTTTCATTGGGAATTGCCCTTCTTTTGATAAGATGGGATTCTCTAGATGCTTTATGGACAAAAATAATGTTTTTCACCCTTTAGCTTTGAGGGTTTTAAGTGTGGGAGGAGTTTTATTTATTTTAACTTTTTTGGACAGCAGTGCCACTTTAGACTGATAAACAAAGGGACAAATCCTGAAATCCTCACTCAATTTTTAGTCAGTTCTTTCTCAGGCATAACTCACATTGACTTCAGTGGAAATCTTGCAGTAAGGAATTCAAAATTTGGGCCATAATAAATATTATAGTTGGGCTGTAGGTCATTATAGATATTTACCTTAAATGACTTTTATGAAAGAGAATTGATTGAAATATAAGGTAGCTCCCAAAGACAGTCCTGATTTTTTTTCCTGTTTTGGGAATAGGGGAAGATTGTACATTTTACTGCCTGTGAAAAAGAACTAGCAGATTTACATTTATCCACAAATGAGGTACTGTATCATGCAGGCTGACACAAAGTAAATTTCCCCATGCCTTGTTGGCAGCCACCTCTACTCTGTCTAGCCCACCCTCCCCCCGCCTCCCTGGGAATAATTGACTCTGTAAGCCAGCTCAGTCCAGGAGTTCTCCAGAGCAGAGCCTGTCACTTAGGCTGAATTATATGTTGTGCATGGATGAATAACATTTCTCTATGGTCTGAGACTGAGACCACCAAAATTATCCCTCCAGTTTACAAACACTGTTTTGTGCTGCTTTGAAAAAGAAAAAGAAGTAGAAAACTTCACCTTAACAAGCTGAGTATAACATGCAAGATGGGAGCTAAGTCATCTCCTCTCCTTTTGGGTATGGAGGAGATGAAAGCTACACACATATTCACCAAAACTGGCCCGAAAACAAGCAAAAAAGAGCTTAAACAACGTTATACTCATGTCCCTAAATATATGTATGCCCTTTGGGACTGTGGAGGTGTGACCATGAAGGAGTAGGAAGTGCCAGAAAAAGCTTTTACTCAACATCATCTCCTGCTAAACTGTGAAAATTCCTGGTGAATTACCCATGGCAGCTAATGCTGAGTATGTAACCCTGCATTGCACTTCCCACTGCTATTAGAGGGAAAGTGGAATACAAGCAGTCTCAAAGTACATAGTAGTACTCGAAAATGGCTCCTAACCTACCATGGTGCAATGAGAGAGTGAACACTAAGCTCCCCTCCTCAATTCAGCTGGCCCAAAATTCACATAATTTCCTATGAATGAACTCAAGTTTATTAATGATGACTGAGCACTGATACTGTGGCTTCCATTGTACAGAACGAGGAAGAAACCAAAACCTTGATGGTGTACATGTTTTGTAGGATATGTGCAGCCATTACATTTAGATCAACCTGACTAGGGCTAGGTCAAGCTAAATGCCCATCTTTGCAGGCATTCAGAGGGGTCAAACTGGGCAAAAATTGGTGGGCCCAACCTAAGTTACTTCACTGAAGATGGTGAATGAACTTAGATCGGGAATGAGTTAGCCCATTCTATTGAATGCCTGTAAGTATTTGGAGTGCAGCCCTAGGTCTGAGAAAGCCCATCCAGTCGCCCCAGTCCCGGGGTTATGCTCTTTCTATTTCCCAACCCTGATCAGGCTATTTTTAGCTCCCTGACCTCCCCGAACCCCTGACAGACAACCCCAGCAGGAAACCTACCAAGCCCCCTTCCCCAGAAAACCTGCCAGCCCCTCCCAATCTCATCCCAAGGCACCGGGTATCCTGCACAGCTCCCAGGACTGGCAAACAGCTGCACACACTGCTCCCAGTCTATGTTCACACAACTTAAAGTAAGCAACATGAACTTATACCAAGCAAACAGCTGTGCATGCCCCCAGTCTTCAACTGAGAACTGGAGGCTCCACAGATGCTAAAACACAGGATGATGGGCCAGAAATTCAGTGAGTGCAACTTTGTACTTTCTTCTTTGTCTTTAGCGCTCCTGGCTATACTAGGGAATAAAGAGGGTAAGGGGCCAATAGTTTTCACTCTAATATTAGTGTCTGTCTTAATCTTTAGGATAGATGTATAAAGCAATCACTGGATGAGTATGATATTATTCCTATTACTTTTTATTCATGTTGCAGCAGTGCTCAAGTAGCCCCAGTCTTGGACTCAGACCCACAGACCCCCAAAGTGGCCAAGCACTGAACAAAGAGGCCATTTTTTTCCCCACAGAGGCTGCAGTTCTGAGTAGAAATCTCACAAAGTTGTCTCCTTTTGTGTGAAAAATAGTCCTCAAGATTTCTTAAATTTCATTTCACTTCTTTGCATTTTTATTTTGAAATAATTTAACAAAATACATGGAGGACCCAAAACACCCCATTATTTTAAAATTTAAACCCATAGATGCCTTAAATGGATTGTTCTAAATCTTGTGTGTAGAATGCCACAATATCATTTAGGAGATTTATGTGCAAACACAAAGATTAGTGACCCAGAAGCATGATTGAAATAACTGTAGTGTGTGCCTCCAGAAGGTAAGTTGCTTTCCACATGTGCTGAACATTTGAATTTTCTGTCTGGGGAAAGTGATGCTCCCTTTAACCTTTTCATTCTCTCTCCTAGTTTATTCAGATAAATTGAAAATTCCCAAGTGCTTATACAGTGCATTGTGGTTTTATGCAGATACTGAATAATCTGTGAGGTAAGATCTGCGTGCAAGGTCTTATTTCATAGAGAAGGGAAGAGAAATTGAAATTAATTTTGTACTTGTACATGTAACTTAAGCATATAATTCTCACACACTGTATAAATACCTTGGATGTCAGGCAAACCTGCTATATTTGGAATATCTAGAGCATTCTGTTGTTACTAGAGAGCATGGAGTCTGGCTAAGCCAGCGCTGACACCTGCCCCCACTAACCCAGCTGGTGTTCTGCTGTTGACTGCAGTGGGACCTGATCTGGGACCAAAGTTACTAAAGTATGAAAAAAAACAGTTTTCTTAAGCTTTTGCAGTCCATACTGCCAGCCAGAGGCATTTGCTTTGTGGGTAGCTTAACACTGAAGAATGTCCAGCTGTAAATTGCAGATGTTTACAATTATGCACAAATGTGGTACCCAGATTATTCGTTTGTTCTTTTCAGAGTGAAAATCCCCCCTCATGAGGGAGATTGTACAGCAGTTACTTCATATAACAAAATTAGTTTCAGTGGTGAATGACCATTTTTTTCTTGAAATGGAGGGTGTGGGCAAACAACACATTTATGCTGCGGTCATCTGCCTTTACCCTAGTGTAAACATGGAGTGGACACATGACATACATCCCTATGCTGGTGCAAGTCACTCTTCTCCAGGGTAAAGTGAGAAGTAACTATACACTGGTGTGTCAGTCATGTATCCACCTGCCTAGTCAATTTACTTAAGAACATTAAAAATACCACACTGGGTCAGCCTACAGGTCCATCTAGTCTCTCACAGTGGCAGAGTGGATGCAAATGGAAAGAGTATTTAAGGAGGGCCATCCACTTTCTCCTGGCACTTCCCACCTTCAGGCTTCCAGCATTCAGAGGCCTAGGGTGTCCTAATTTTGAGCTTGTATCATGCTTAATACCCATTGATCAACCAATCTTCCATGAAATTGTCCAGTCCCCTTTTGAAACTGGTTGAATTATCAGCCTTCACAACAACTTGTGGCAATCAGCAGTGCTGTAGCCAGGCATTTTGATGCATGGTGCAAGTCATGTGTGATACTATGTAACATTACTTCCATTTGATTTTCCCCTCCCTTACTCCCTCCTCCTACCCCATGTGACAGCTCCCAGTGCTGGCACACTGCTGGTGCTGGTACTAGCTACTATACTAGCAGTGAGTTCCACAAGTTTACACACAGTGTGAAAAAGAACTTCCCTTTGTTTTAAACCTGCTAATAAATTCACTATATTCCCAGTTCTAACATTGTGAGAGGTAGTGTAATAAATCCCTATTAACCTTCCTTTTTCATGTCATTGTGACAAGTTACTTAGCAGAATTCACAGATTTGTTGGAATCTGACGTGGCCGTGCCATGGCAGGGCCATGCTGGCCGACTCTGGCCAGGGAGAAGCCCATTCCCCCTCCTCCTCTGGGCACAGCCTGGCTGGGGTCTCTGCAGGCCAGGGTGGGAGTTTAAATCCCTCCACAATCAAACTCAGCAGCCTTCAAGGGCCTGGCCACACCCCCCAGGTCAGCTTCCCTCCAGTCTTGTGGCTGGTAAAAGGGGCGCGCCACCCCCCCCCCCCCCCCCCCCCGACTTCTAGCCTGAGCCACTGCAGACATGTGCCTGCATTTCCGGAATTGAAAGTGAATGTTTGTTCACTTGCAAATCAGTTCAACCTACACAGGTTAGACTAACCTGCAAAGATTGAATCAATTCAGGCTCAGGTTTTTTGAATGTCTTTCTCTAGCCAGAATGGCCACAACAGATCCAAATGTTTTAACACTGGACTCCTATTTGAAATCTCTGGGTTTATTTTGTGGAACATGTTTACATACCTAATAGTGCTAACATTGTGGCACCCTTGAAAAGATTTCAGGGCACCCCAGGATGCCAGGGCTCCCAGGTGAAGATCACTGACCTAGTGGTTAGGACACTCACTTAGGAAGTGGAAGACCCAGCTTCTAGACCCT